GGGGGGTTACAACACGGGGGGGGGGGGGGTCTTGCAAAGAGGGGGGCATGGTGGCTCCAGGAGGCTGTGACAGCTGCGGGACAGGGGGGGATGTGGGCTGAGGGGGGCATTTCTGGGGGTCTGCTGGGGCTGCTCCACTGGCTGTGAGCAGCTCATCTGTCCGTGCAGGCGTCCAGGCTGGTGGAGCTGCCCTACTCCTCCTTCTCCGATGATGATGATGGTGATGATGGCTCGCTGGCCGGGGACATGGACCTTCCCACAGCCGAGCAGGACCCCAGGGTGTGGTGCCCCGTCCCCCCCAAGCCGGGGACCTTCAGCCAGTGTGTGCGGTACCTGGCCTTCTTCTGGAACCTCCTCTTCCTCCTGCTGGGCTTGCTGGCCCTGGCTGTGGGGGTATGGGGGCTGCTGGCCAAGGGCTTGCTGGGGGGCGAGCGCCTGGCCCCCCTGGGCTCTGACCCCATGCTGCTTTTCATACTGGTGGGGCTGGGGGCCAGTGCCGTCTCCCTGGCCGGCTGCCTAGGTGCCCTCCGCTCCAACCCCTGCCTGCTGCGCTTCTTTGTGGGGGCCGTGCTCGCCTTCGCGGGGCTGGAGGTGCTGGGGGGGCTGCTGCTGTTGGCAGCGCAGCACCGGCTGCGGGATGCCCTGCGGGATGCTCTGCTCCTCTGCCTCCTGCACTACCAGGAGGAGCCGGACCTGCGGTTCCTGGTGGACGAGGTGCAGCGGAACCTGCGGTGCTGCGGCCTCGGCTCCTATCGCGACTGGGAGACCAACCCGTGAGTCGGGGTGCCGGGGGCGGGGGGGTGTCCCCACACCGGGAAGGTGAGCGGACCCATCAGCTTTCCTTGTCCATCCCTGCAGGTACTTCAACTGCAGCGCCCCGGGAGTGCAGGCGTGCAGCGTCCCTGCCTCCTGCTGCCTGGACCCCTGGCAGAATGGCACCGTCACCAACACCCAGTGCGGCTTCGGAGCCCTGCGCCTTGGGGATGGGGTGGCCGGCACCATCGTACACCTGGGGGGCTGCATGGCACAGCTCGGCACCTGGCTCCGCGGTCAGGTGGGCGGCATCGCGGCTGGTGCGGCCGTGCTGGTGCTGGTTGAGGCTGCCAGCGTGTTCATGGCGCTGAAGGTGCTCAGAGACATCGTGCCCGTCGGGGTGCGGGATTGACAGCGTGCTGGCTGCCACCCGGGGTGGGAGACACCGTGGGGTTGGGGACATGCGGGGGACTGATCCAGGCCAAAATAAACCTTGTCAGAAACCTGAACCCCATTCCCGTCCTGTCCATTCCACCCTGTGGCTTGGGGAGACGCTTTCCACCCACATCCCTGCCAACCTCAGACCACGACACCAGGCTCCCATGCTCGTTCTGGGTTTTAATGAGCATTTCTCCAGGCTGAGCCCCACCACGCAGACAGGGCAGCTTCTACCTACGCAGCACTATAGGACGGGTGGGTGGCGGTGGCCACAGCCTGCCTAGATGATGCCATACTGGGCCAGCTCGTGCAGCTCCAGGTGGCTGAAGGCTTCCCAGGGACAGATGACGGTGATGTCTGGGGAGAGGAGAGAGGGTGCATCAGCGTGACCCCCCCAGCCCAGCTGCAGATGGCTATGCACGCAGCGAGCCCCATTCCCCACCCGCGGCAAAGCGGGGACAGGACCCCCGTACCTGTTCCCAGCCCTTCCATGCCTGGGATGTCGTCGCCGAACCTGCAAGGAGAGAGAGCGTCTGTCCTGACCCCCGGCCAGCCCCCACCCACCCCAGCCTGGCACGTACGGCCATGTCCTGTCCCCCTCCCCAGGGCTCTGTCATGGGTCCTGGGGCTCTGCCCCACTCACCCCTGCACCCCCTTTTTGGGGGGCTTGCTTTTGAACTGCCTCGTCTGCCTCTGCTTGAATTTGGGTGGTCCCTTCCGCGGGGTGGCGGGTCCCCCAGTCACCCTCGTGACTGATTTGATCTCTGGCTTGGGGGGCTCCAGGCTCATGGCTGTGCCAGGGCCAGCAGCCTGCCCTGGGTCGTGGTCGTCCCTGTGGGTCCGGTGCTGGCACGGGATGGCTCCTCACACCTAATGGAGGAGAGACATGGGAGGGGGGGGGAATCACCAGCTTCTCCTACCACCCCCAGGCACCCTGTGCCCCTGCTCCCACCCTGTCCTGCCACGGGGCCCCTCAGCTATCGCTGATCGGCTTTTTCCAGGCTGCCCCGGAGGAAAGTCCTCTCCCCGCAACCTTGACTTAGCCCAGCTCAGAGCCCACTAATCCCCTTACTCCAAAGGCAGGGAAGGGCATCCCCGGGGGCAGCAGGGCTGCCTCCCTTTGGGGCTATTCCTCCAGCCTTTGCCCCCCACCCCAGCGTGGCTGTGACACCCAGGGACCCCCTTGCCGGCACTGCCGGGAGCCCCCACCATGGTTTGCCCGCGGTCTGTGCCGAGCTGCGTGTGCCGCAGTGGGTTGGCATCCATGCAGCCGCAGGCATGGGAGAGAGGCGTCCCTCAGGGCTTGTTTGTAGCAGGATGAGTTTCGGGGGTGGGGGGCACCGTGGGCTGCGGACCCCTCAGGACCTGTGTTGGGATGCGGGTGGCCATGGTGGTGGGGGGAGTGGAGGGCAGCCGCCGAGGCGGACATCGCAGGGCAGCACGTGGGCTCTGTCCCGCTGCGGTTGTGCTTCCTCCAGGCATGGCAGCCATGCCACGGACCGGGTGTAGGAGTGTTGCGGCACAAGAGACGGCTCTGGCATCGGTGCGAGGGGGTTCAGCCCCGCTGCAGAGCCCAGCGGCTCAGCACGGGCCCTGGGCAAGAAGGGACCTGGCTCGGGGAGATGCTGGAGATGCTGCTTCCAGCTGCAGGTAGCAGGAGCAGGAGGCAAGAGCAGGATCCTGCCTGGAGCAAAGCAACACCCTTCCCTGGGAGCCCTGGTGCCACTGGGACCGGGTCCCATCCCGCGCACGGAGCAGAGCCCCAGACTTACGCAGCCGCCGTGGTCCCTGAGGCCAGCGCTGCTCCGCAGGAGACCCTCCGTCCCGCTCCCGCCGGCGCACGTCCTATAGACGCTCTGACTGGCTTTTAGGAGAGGGCAGATTTATCCTGCTCTGGGGTAATAGGATTATTTATGTCCCTTCTTTTCAAAGGGGTAATCTGATGTCCTTCCCCACGGCTTTGTCCTGGTGGGATGGGGGGGGTGGATGGGGACAGCGTATCTGGATTAGTGCCAGCGGGACTGACGGTGTCAGGATGGGCAGCAAATCACCCATGGGGGGGATCCTGCCTCCTCTCCCCAAACCACCAAGGCATCTCTCCCCACTCCCCGAGACATTTCACCTTGGTGCCCCTCAACCCCAGGGGCAGGGATGGGACCCCCAGCCTGCCCAGGACCATGGACCGGCTCTCCACAAGGATCTGCGAGCCGGGAACCAAACACCCTTTGTGGCTTGACCCCAACAGGGCAAGGCAGTAATGCAGGCAGCCGCAGGCAGGCTGTGCCGGGAAATACCAGCAGCAGAGCCTGTGCGGTTGAAACTACCGGGACACGCCGGGTTTTCAGCCTGTGCCCTGTGTTTTGTGCCAAGCACGGTCCGCTCCTGACAGCAAGGGCTGCCGGGTACTGCTGCCAGGGCTCCTGCCTGCAGGCGCTGCCAGATTCCACCCTGGTGTGGGTGAAGGTCTTGGCACAAGGGCTGCCCTCTGAGCATTGTCCCTGCCGGTGCCACCGCGGGGTGCTTTCACCCAGGGCACAGCCCGAGCCCTGTCTGGGCATGGGCATTGCAGGCCAAAATCTGGCAGAAATGGGTCTGGGCAGCCCCTGCCCATCCTGCCCAGCAGCCCCGCTCTCCATGGGACAGTATCACTCCAAAGCTTCCCTTAATCTCGGCACTAAAGCAATTACAAAAAGGAATAATCTCAGTACACTTTAATTGAACATCAGCCCCTGCCACTAATTGCAATTAGTTGGACTCCAACAAATAGGATTACAGGGATCCGGGAGTGTTTTATATGAGGCTGGCAGAACCAGCTATTTCTCTGGCAAAGAGCAGAGCCCTGGTGTAAATTGCTGCTTCCAGCTTCGTTAGCCAGTGCTGCTCAAGCGCTTCGGGGCTCCTTGGGGAGCTTGTGCCGAGAGGACTGGGGGGTCTGTGGGGGTCCCGATGGCCAGGAGCCTGCAAGTCCCCCAGCCCAGCCAGGCAGGATGGAGGGGAGGATGCGCTGGACCAAATTTATGGGGTTTCAAGATGGAGGCAAAGGCAACTGAGGAAGAAAAGGCACCATGAAAAACAGCCTGGCAGGTTGTGACCTCGGTGCCAAAGCTGGGGATGGTGCCCTTGCCAAGAGGCTGCCGGTGCCCATGTGCTCGGGGCCGCACGCTGCCTGCACCTCCTGCCTGGAGAAGGGGCTGGCAGCGCTGGGTGCCTCCCCTGCGAGCCCCTCACGTGGAGAAGCCCCTAAGAGGCTTATGGTGCCAGTGGGGAGGGGGGGTCCGGCGCAGTGCCCCAGCTCTCCCCAATCACTAGGTCACAGCCAAGCCGCACAGGACGCTTAAAATCCAAGGTGGGGAACGCAAGGAAGAGGCAAGAGCAGCGGTGCGGGGAGGGCTGGGGACACGCACCAGCCTGCCCTTGGCAGGGATTTTCCACTCCGGGGGAGCACAGCATCCGGCTGCCGGGAAATCCGGGGCTGAGGACAGAGGTGAGCTGCTGTCTGTCCCCAAGGGCAGGTTCCCCCATAGATGAGAAGTGAGACACGACCTGGGCACTGCCTGTATTGAAACTCACACGGGATCCCGTGCTCAAAGCTGTGGAGGTCACCGGAGGCGGGGCTCGGACCATCCCCAGCCCAACTGCCCCCCAGAGCTCAACACACACAAATAAATAGTTTAAATAAGCTGAGTCCAGATCCCACCATCCAGCCTGAAGCAGTCTCCTGGGCGGTATCACCTGCTAGTTTTTAGGGGCTGGGGGAAGATCATTTCTTCTCCGTACGCAGCTTGATCTCCATCCTGAGGATCATTTTAATGTTCTCATCCTCCACGTGTTCCTCAATGGCGGCCAAGGCCCGTGCGCCGCCATCCCGGTACTGCTCCAGCAGCTCCTCCACGTACCCAACCCAGACGCAGCTGGGGCAGCCGGTTCCGCAGCAGTGCGTGGGTGGTGGGGGGATCGGGGGGGCAGCAGGAGGGACTCCCACTTCACCCTGGGGGGTGTCTGTCCCGCTGTCGCTTCCTGGGGTGTCTGAGGTGCCACCAGCCTTTGCCGGGGTGTCCGAAAGTTCCCGAAAGCCGGAGATGTTGCTGGGGTGGGGGTGCAGGGCCCCTTCCCTGAGCATCCCCCTGCAGCTGCCAGTGCCAACCGGGGGCTCCTGAGAACCACGACCCCACGCTGACGCCAGCCCTGGGGGGAAACTGTGCCCCCCACCTCGGCCAGAGGACCTCCTTCCACCCCACAGCCCCCTGCTCCCAGTGTCCCCCGCCATTCCATCACCCCCTCAGCAGCTCACAGACCCCCAGCAGCACCCCCCTACCACCCCATTCCGGCACCCCCTATCCCCCCACATCCCCA